TTGATAACATAAAAGATAACAAAGAAATAAGAGACATAAAGAAAATGAAAGCATTACCTCATCTGCTTCCAGAGGAACTCCAATGGAACCAGTAATATATGATAGTGGAACTTCCATATTATATTCTGATAAATCTGGATAAACACTTGAGTTTCCATCAAATGATATGACTTCAACCGGTTCCACCTCAAATTTCCTTTTACAGTAGGTCGAAAAAGTGGTCACCTGTAGATAGAAGGAAATGTTTATTCTTACCCCCACTTATAAAGGTGAGGACAGAAGCTAACAGTACTCAACTCCTTACCATTGTATTTAAAACAATTTTAGCCTTTGTTAGATCGGTTGCTGTGCACTCAATGAAGACATTTTTTGTCTTCAAAGTGATTGCCGAGTGTGCACCATTAATAATTGGCGGTAAAGACAAAACAGTTCTGTATAAAGACAAGAAAAACAGAAAGGTCATCCAGGTGCATTTCAGTATTTTTAAACCTAACAATACATGCTGTACAAATACACACTTGAAAAGGAGCAAATATTGGCAGAAGGTTAAGCGGCTTTAAGTTAAAAGTGAAATTGATTGCTAAACACAAAGGCTAAAACTAATAATCAGATGCACATTACCAAGAACACACATACCTGTTGCGGTCATAAATGACAGGGAACACACGTGAATTCTCAATAATGTGCAAGAACTTCTTCAACTTCAAATCTGACTGTTACGTGTTAGTAGAACATATTTAGTATAACCCTCCATTGAAATAAATTAGTCAAATCCTATCTAAAAATTAGGAGAAACAAGTGCAGAAGATACAGACAGAAGTACCAAGATACTGATTGTTTAATAAAACAACTTCACAGGTGAGCATAACAAATAAGCTTTATGAAGATTTACCTTGTAAAATTCTATCAGCTCATCAGCTCTGAAGTTCTTCACCTAAATTAATAAGACCAATTCCAGGGAAATCAGTTTGCTCCAAGGGAAGAGGAAAAGGTTTCAAATGAGTAGAAGTGTGCAGATGAACAACAAAGAGCACTAAAGTAAAGACTAACTGCAATTCCTGAAAACTATTGTAGTTCAACAGAGAGCACCCTTAAGAAGCTTTGTTCCTAAAACATCTAAGCATTATGTAGCCAAGAGTTTAAAGCAAGGTAACTATTTCCATAAACAGTTCTTAAATTAAAATAATACCTTAAAAAATAAAAGAGGTCTTAGCTGTTTTAATAATAATAGAAGCAAGATCATCTTGAGCATTCAGTAATAAATTTCCAACTGAAAACGGTCAAAGTTTAAAAAAAATCAATAACAATCTTTTTCTCTCAGTATAAGCTAAGTTCCTAAAAGCTTGATCAAATGGAAATTAAAGTGGCAAGATAACTCGGGTAGACTAGTCAATTGTTTACATGGAAAATAGTATCCATCAGAAAACAATAATACCTGTTTCAATGGAACAAAATTTATCTCTGGAGGTGGCAGGGCCTACAAATATTTAAATAATTACTTACAAGTTAGAATGTGATAGTGACAAGTTAGTAAGGCTGCATGATAATGTCAAAAGTAAACTACTAGATCTTAAAATATTAAAGCAAACTTTAAATTTGATCCATAATTCCTTATCAAGAAGTTCATCCTCTGTTGATACTGTAGGGAAGAGAAAAAGAAAAAGGAAACAAAGAAGTTTGAGCAAACTATACTAACTGTAACAATTACCCTATCAATTAACAAACTAGAGAAAATAATTTATTGCTAATATTGCCAACTTGAAGAAGTTTGAGCAACCTATATTAATTGTAACTATTACCCTATCAATTAACAAGCCAGAGAACAATTATTCCCAACATTGCCACTTGACCATCGACAACCAGGCTGATGAAAACTAAACAAACATATAACAAATACACCTCTGTCAGCCAACAAAAATACTAAAATGAAAAGAGCCCTTGTCTACTGCGCAGGTTGCTATTTGACCAAGTTAACAATAGGCACCGGATTACAGCCTTGGGCTGCAGCTTTCATTTACACCCAAGGTTTGATCATCAACAAGGGATCAAAAGCATCTTCAACTATTTTATGGCCACCATTTTAGTAATCCATTAAAAGAAGTCCAAAAGATTATATTAATAAAATAAGAATTAGACTGTTATGAAGCCCACCTCATATGTAAAAGGCCCTTGTAATGTATCCAAATCATGTGTACCGATAGCAACTAAGGTCCGCTTCCTAAACCAATAAGTAAATGTAAGCAAGACAACTTAAATAAAAAGGTGAAACCTTTATACAATAATAATTGGATGCTTATTTTTAGAAAGTTTCAAAGCCATCAACACTTAAGAAGTCGAAAATGCAAGAAAAAAAATTCTGAACAATACAGAAATTTAAGGTTACTATAAACAAGTTTGAGGGTAAAATTTCATCTTTAGCAGTCCCTTTATTTTTCAGGTTCAAATTAAAACACAAATAGGCAGAGACCACAAATATGGGCTGTATGGAAAATGTAAGCAGACAGATTTACTAGTTAGTTAACGTTACCTGCAGATATTTTGGTGCAGCTTATCCTGGAGATCAATGAAGCTGTTATAGTTAGCTTCATCAAAAGTAACATCCCTCAAAACCGCACAAACAACAAAGGGACGGATTAGAGACGTCTGCTAGCCAAGGGAAATCAATAAGGTATCAGTAACATCCTTCAAAATTACCTGTCAATACCCAAAACCAATTTTTCAACCTTCAAAATTACCTCTTTTCTCACATGCATTTTAAGCATTGATTCCTTACTAATCTTTGCAACTGTGTATCTAGGTATTTTCTCCTGCTCATTGAAAATGCGAAGGGCTTGTGCAAGCCCTTCCAAACAAAGCAAGTCATACCTGTAAAGAAAACCTTCATTAATATTTCTTTTTTAATATTAAATCAAATTAAATTAGAAACCAAAAAATACGAGTAAAACTACGCGGTTTTCTTCCAGGGATTTTTCTTGGTTAAACTAAAGTTGAAACTATTTTTGCAAGGGAACCTAACAGTTACTAAACCTTCTAAACAAAATTAAGAGTAAACACATAAGCAAAATTCGAGAAGCTACAAAATAGCTATAAGGTGTAAGGCAGCTTCTAACAACAATACATTGTTCAGTTCTATCGAATTAACAAATAAAATCTTATAAAGAAAAGCAGTGGAAACCTGTTAGCAGGTACTTCAATCTTGTAAATGATTTCATCGTCAGCACTAGGTTTTTCCTCTTCCAAATGCTTCTCTTTCGAAATTATCGCTTTCTCGGTTGTCTGGTTCAACATAGCAAGACCTTTTTTTTCAAAAAAAATTCTTAGATATCAACGGGTATCCAATAAAAAAGCGTAAGAATACACTGACCACATCATCAAGCTCAATCCCGAAACTGAAACACAGATCGTCAAACTCTTCTTGAGCTGAGCAATTTTTTTAATAACGTTAGATGCTAAAATGAAAATCCGAAAAATGTGAAAAATGAGCTTAGTAATTTAGAAACTCACTGTAAGATCTGCCGATAAAGCGAAAAGACGATCTCTGCCGACGCTGATTGTGGGCATTGTGACAGCCTCCGTCTATCTCAAAGTACAACAGTGTCAAAAACGTTTTAGGTATTACAAGGCAAGGCACGGGAATTTAGTTATTTAAGAAAAATATTTGGTGTAATTCATAATTTAACCCCTGAACTCTTTCTCATTTTACATCCCAAACTATTTTTATTAAGTTTAGGTGATTATAAAGCAATTCTAAGTACTCTCAATTGATAATAAATGTCCATCACTCTTATAGTCATGATGTTCGAATATGTGAATTCTAGGAACAATAATTATTCTTTTGATCACTAAGTAATTTGATTTGTGTTATCCAATAAATTGTTAACAACAAATAATAATATATCACATGTCATATTTTTATTGATGATATTTTTATTTAGAATAAAATAAAACAAAAGTAACAATTTAAATAAAGAGTAAATTATAAATAAAAATGGATAAAATACATAAATGTACCTCGATTATAGTATGTTGCTTTTTGAGTCCATCGGCTATTAGAAATAACAAAATAGTCACTCGATTATATGGCGTTGATTTGTTGAGTCTCCCGACTATAAAAAGTTATAAAATGGCCACTCGACTAGTCATCATATTCTAAACTTTCATTTTCCATTAAAAATTAACGATCATCTGAGTTGGACGTTGACATGCTAATTGAAATATGATAAAATCAAATATCAAAATCTCAAACAACTAGTCAATTATCATATCTCAGTTGGCATGTTAATGTCCAGCTCAACGACCATCATTTTTTTTAATTGAAAATGATGAGTTTGGAACGTAATGAATAGTTGGATAACCATTTTGTAACTTTTAATAGTCGATGACTCAACAAAATAGTATCATATAGTCGAATGACCATTCGTTTACTTTACCCTAACAGATATGATTCAAATGAAAAAAATGTATACTTTGAAAGTGAAATTGTGTATTAAGAAAAAATGAAGAAGATTTAAATATGTCAATTCTCAAATATTATACTCAATACTCAATATTACTTTAAATTCTAAAATTTAATTTATTTTGTGACATTAAATTCTTATATTGTTTTAATTTAAAAAATTATAAGAGATGGTTATCTCAGCTCGATCCATCCTTGAATCTAACATTTATTTTACTCATTTTCATATACTATTATTAAATTCTTGAATATCAAAATTAATTAGGTGAGATAAAATTGGTTCATTTAGAGTTAGATGTTCATATTTATACATAACTCAAATAATAGATAAAAATTTTACATTTAGAAAAGAATAAAAAGAAAGAAAAAAATGTTGTGTAGATGAGATTTGAATATTTTCTCTTTCTTGGAATTATATATTCCACCAACAGAAAGAATGTAAAGATGGTGGAACAAGCACGTGGAAGATTCCTATAATGGAAGTAGCTTGCTAGGAATACCGTCGTAAAGCAAGGTTGAATTATATATCTCACAATTGTAATTCTCACTCGCTACTTGTTCGACCCATTTCCTCATCCTTTGCCCCTGCCTGCGTATGCTGCCGGGAAACCAGCTCCTCTAAGGCTTCCCTCATCCACAAATGTGGGCATTCTTCTTTAGCTTTAGAGATTGTTACCTACAACCACAGACATAACATTTTCCGATAATTGCATGGATTTAGACCACCCACGAATGATCAGAACTCAGAATGTCATACGTACCCACTTCCTCGTCCGGATGTTTTTCTCAGGCCAAAGGTCTAGCTCTTGCTTGACAAGCATTGGAAACATGTGGCCTTCATGGAGAGTACTTCGCCTCTTGCTCTCGTACGACCATTTCCCTAATTTGCACTGTTAAACCAACGAAATACATCCAAATGGTACTGTTGAAATTCAGAAATAACAACAAATGTCTACTAAGAGTTGATACATATATATATACACACTAACTTCAATGTTGCCAACGACACCGGCTTCTTCGAGCGTCTCTCGAACGGCCGCCTCTTCCATGGATTCATCATGCTCCCAACCACCTTTAGGGAACAGCATACCTTTGCCGTTTTGTGCACTGATCACAAGTACTTCGATCACGTCGTCGTTTGAATTCGCTTCGTCCATTTTCCTATATCGATATGGAATACATCTGCTCATGAAAAAAATTTATTTTTTTAAATTCAAGAATGTTGTGAACAACCAAACCCTAACAGAGAAACAAGAGGAAACGATGAAGGAGAAATACCCAACAACTAAACGAAAGCCTTCGCTATCATAGCGTTGGAATTGCCTACCACTGCGAGGAGGGCGATAAGGAGCAAGAGACACCATTTTCTCGACGGGAAACGGCGGTTTCACTTGGGATTTTTTCAATGAGAGATACGAGCATGCTGGTGAAAGGGGAGAAATTTGTAAGAAAAATCCCGAGATCCCCCCTATCTTATCATACAAATTATGGCAAACATTAATAATATATTGCTCTTGGGATTGTGTCCATTCTGGATTTCCTTTTCTTCACCCTCCAACTAAATTTAGGGTTTCCATCGTTTAACAGCCATCAACTTTTAGAGGAGGTTTCTGTCTGTATGTGGATAAGATGCAAGAGACATTTGGTGTCTCCTACGTTTTTGTGTCCATTCTATATAAAATTGTTTCCTTTATTTGAATCATAAAATTAATTAAGTTATATTATAAAAAGACAACGAACAAACGATTGTAAAATTACAAAAAAAAAAAACCCACACACAATATATTAATTTATGTAAAAAAAATACAGATAAAAAGAAAATTTATTATAATATCAAAATTATAAAATTTTTCATTTATATCTAAGGTTTAACTTTAATCAATAATTTCAATCACTATTATTTATTTGTAAGATTAATTACTTGATGAAATTGAAAAATTAAATTATCAAAAACTTTCTTCAATACAATTTTATCTTTTAAATAAATTTAATATAATAAGATTATATAAAGTTAATACAATTTTTCCTCACTGATTTAAAAAAAAACATAATATACGATCACTTTTGTTTTTATTTAGTTAAGATATGACCACTTTCATTTTTATTTAATTAAGATATGATCACTTTCGTTTTTTTTAATTAAAATGGGCTCACCATGGGTTAATTGTCATTAACAATTAATATATTAAGTGATGTGATATTTTAGTATAATCACTCATTTGATCTCTGGTATTTATATATTATTTCAATTTGTACATTCTTTTAATAAATTTAATCTTCTAATTAAATAATATCACGTTTCGTGCAAGATGTCACCGTTCGATTGGAGGGTTTAGGTTTAGTTTAATTTAATTTAATTTATCTTAATTTAATAAATTTATTTTTTACTACCCTCTAGTTGAAAGAAAATAAAGCAAAGAAAATTGGGGCCAACGAGGTTTGAACTTGGTCGCTTGGGAAACTAAGAATGTACACATCCATTGATTAGAAGATTAAATTTATTTTAATTTATTATAAGTGAGACTAAATTAAGATAATATATAAATAAAATGGATCAAATGTGTTATTATATCAAAATATTTAACGACAGTTAACTCATGCTGGCCATATCTTAATTATATAAAAAAATTAAGTGACTATATATATATATATTATATTTTTTGAAATCAGTAAGGAAATGTGGACAAACCACAAATACAAGTTATCAATCATATAGTTAACCCTATATTTTTAATAGCCTAAAGTGATTATAAGGTAATATATGTTTAGAATCTTTCTTAACTAGTGATTGTGAACACACTTTACAGACGCAATTGCTCGAACTCAAGACATTTAAGGAGAAGAATATTTCTTCTAATCACTAATATCACTTGATGAGTTTGACTTTAGATTATAAAAAAATTAATTGAAATGTTAAAAAACATGATCGAAGTATAAAATAGAACCGAATGAACCAAGCATCTTCAATAGTTAAAATGATGATTGTTATCCTTAGAGGTTATAAGTTCAAGCACCAACGACTGTAAGGTATTTAGATATTTATTATTAAATAGTTGAGAGTTTTAAAAACAGATACTATCACTTGCAATCACCCTAAATTAATAAAAACTATAAAATAGAATCATGATCAAATAAAATAAATGAGAAGAGACTTTTTTGGTTGCCCTTTAATTTTAGGGTTTTATCTTGATTAATCTTGATCGATTAGGGTTGTACATCTGATTTTGGTGAACGAGTCTTCTAATGGGATTTTCTACACACTATAGCAAAACTGATATGTAGCGGCGTTTGGAGAGAAAACGCCACAAAAGTTAAACATATAGCAGCGTTTACAATCGTAGCGCCACAAATTGATACTTTAGCGGCGTTTGTTGTAAAAACGCTGCAATAGATTTGACATATAGCGGCGCTTTTACAAAAAAAAAACCGCAATATGGTGGTTTATTGCGGCATTTTTTAACAAAAGCCGCAATAGAGTGGTAAATTTGTGGCGTTTATACCACAAACGCCACAATATATTACACATATAGTGGCGTTTATTCTTAAAATGCTGCAATAGTGATAATAAATAGTGGCGTTTTTAGATAAACGCCGTAACAGTGTTAATCAATAGTGGCGTTTTTAGAAAAACGCCGTAATAGTTTTAATCAATAGTGACATTTTTTAACAAACGCCATAATAGTGTAATCAATAGTGGCGTTTTTTTTATAAACGCCGCAAAATGTTAAATATATAGTCTTCTTTTTCTCCTACCCGAACCTTAAAATCAATAAAACTCTTATTCCCTCAAAGCTTCTTCTCTGGAACAACAATAACTCTCAAACGATTCCTACCGACGTCGTCGTTTGTATGTCCCGGCGACCAAATCGGGCCTCTCACCGACAAACTATAACACAACTGTACGGTTTGATCCCTCTTATCATTAATGATCTTTTTCATTTTTTTGGTCTTCTGAAAATGGGGAAAACCCAAAAAGCTAACGTATTTAAGAAAAAGAGAGCATGTGTTGTCTTGAGTAAGAGAAATTATCGTCGACGGAATGTTTAAGTGGCGTATTTGCTCTGATGATGGATCAAATTATCGTTGGGAGGATATCAGTCCGGTCTCGCCGTTGAAACTGGATGATGACCCGAAAGGAACTCCTAATGCTCTATACCCTTCCATGGCCAATCTCCTTCTTGAATGTAATAATCTATGAATCTTTCAGTCGCTATAATTTGTTTCTCTACGCTTAGTCAAATTTCATAGATTGTATGCATATAGGATCTTCAAAGCTTATTGAGAACGATGATAGAGGAGTGGATAAATACCCGATGTTTAGAACTGAATTTGGTAACTCTGTGGCGTTGAAAGAATCTTCAATTGCAAAAGCAGTATCTATCCTCAATGAAGATGAAGTTGCCTATACTGTTACTCCAAGTAAACATTTATATCATCTATTTAAATTTATTTTAATTTTTATTTAGTTCGCAAGCCACCTACAATCAAGTTTCATACTGTAGGTGAAAGGTCGTTATCTCTTTCAAGTGAAGCACTGAAGCGCGCAAGGACTCTTCTTGGTGAACCGGAGGTAGGAGATTTATTTGGTGAAATGGATAAAGAGTTTCTCCATAAAGAGTTTACACGGAGGAAAAACTTAACGATACGTCATCAAACAGCTTTCCTACGTCCTTTCCCCACGAATGAGCACAACTAAATTCTACTGAACAATATGGTGAAGACTGTTTATGCATAACTTTAATGTTTCTAAATTGTAATGTATTTTGTTGCTAAGTATTTTTATGCATAACTTATGTCTTAATTAAAATGTATGGTTGTTATTAATATGTAAAATCAACTAATGTTTCTCCATATACTGTTTATACATATATCAGTCAATTTAGTTGATGTACATTAGAAATGAAATATGTAAAATCAACTAATATTATCTAAATAAAAGGTAATTAGCGGCGTTTGTATCCAGAAACGCCGCTATAGATCTGATATTTTATGGCGTTTGTATCCAAAAATGCCGCTAAAGAGTAATACTTTAGTGGCGTTTTTGAAACAAACGTCGTAAAATGGTTGTATATTGTCATTTATAGCGGCGTTTTTCCAATAAACGCCGCTATAGGTACGTACTTTAGTGGCGTTTTTATACAAACGCCGCTATAGAATCGTACGTTAGTGGCGCTTTTATACAAACACTGCTATATACTAGTACTTTAGTGGTGTTTCTATACAAATGTCGCTATATATTCATACTTTAGTGGTGTTTTCAATCTAAACGCCGCTATAAACTCGTACTTTAGTGACGTTTTGAATGAAAACGCCGCTAAAGACTCATACTTTAGCAGCGTTTTTTCAACAAACGCCGCAAATATTTATACATTAGCGGCTTTTTGTACAAACGCCACAATGGGTGTAATCTATAGAGGCATTTGTTATGTAAACGTCGCAATAGAGTTGAATAATAGAGGCGTTTTACTATAAATGCCGCAATCGAGTTGAACAATAGTGGCGTTTTTTTACCTAAACGACGTGATATATCTACACTATAGAGGCGTTTTGTTTAAAAACGCCGCAATATATCGGCAGTATAAAGGCATTTTTTTGATAATGCCGTAAACTTAGATAAACAAAACCCTAAATTTTCATCTCCCTCTTCATTTTACAGTTCACTGACGAACCCTAACACCCCCAAATTAAATTTCACTCGCAAACTTAGTTAAAAACTCTAAATCTCTTTCTATCAAACTCTCCCATTCTTCATTCTCCTTCGTTCGTGCCATCTTTCCTTTCTATTCAACACATGTATTATCTCCCGCAATCTTTTGTAGAGAAAGGACCCTGCAAAGTCATCTTCCACTCCTCAAACCATATAATGGATAGTGAAACCAGTTGCTCCAGACAATAATAAGGGTTCACAGGCAACAGCGAAGCAGACAACGAAACTTCTTCAGTCGATCATTTCGCAAACTCGAGTGCCTTATACAAACTAGGTTGCCGCTTTGATTCAATCGGTTAAAGTTGTTGGAGAATGTTTAATTGCTGCAAATCTCGTCGGTACGATAACCTTTTCCTTCTGTGTTAATTTGGTTTTGATGTTTAATTATGAAAATTTGTGGTTTGTATTTGATTTTAGTTTCACTTCTGCCTTGTTTCTTATTAGGAGACTGTTGGAAGATATTGGTTTAGAGCACTGAAACATTCGATGATTATAGGAGCATGTGTAAGAATCGATGTTTTTTAGGACCCTGTCATTATGTGCTCAATTATGTCTCTTTTTTTAGCTAGGAAATTAGAAGAATTTTGCATACACTCGAACTATAAATGTTTTGTATACGCCCAAACTCTTCATAGATAAGTTATTAGTGAAGTATTGATTTCCTTAGTCTTCTGCTGGCTCAGTCTTTTATTTTTTTTTAGTTCTTATAGGATGTAATTTTGTTACTGTTTTTGATGCAATATTTTTGTGTGTGTTGTTTATATATATATATGTTCTGTTCAAAGTAAGTTGTTTGTGTATTAAAGAGAAAAATTGAAATGTAAACTCTTGTTTTAGTTACAAATTAGACGTTGTGAAGTGGGAT